GCAGATAAAGTTACTATGACTATGCTCAGTGGATAATTAACCTTTTGAATTTACAAAGTCTTTAAATTGCTTTGGGAAACAATTTTAGAGCTGAAAGTTATAATTAATTGAATTGTCTGTTAAACTGTCTAATATATGCTACATAGTTTAACTTATTACATAATTTATTTTGAAGCTACTGAAAATGCTAAAAACATCACACTGATCCTCATTAATTTATTAACTATTAAGTGACATTTTTTATTCATATTCAGGAGAAGAAAAACTGAATCATGTTGCCTAGAGACCAGAATGTATAGCTCAGCTTTTAAAAATATAAATTAAAAATTACAACACCACTTTTAAGAAGATTATGTATAAAATACAAATGGGAAGTCTAGAGTGTTTTTAAGAAATTTTAGGCTTTTATATATTACTAAAAACTAGTTATTTATATTTAGGAATTATTACATTTAATGCAAGCATTTGACTATTATATTGACCACTGTATGTTGTTCTATCCATCCAAGCTCCTTAAATCAAAACTCAACAAGCAGGAAATTGGTTGGTTGATAGTGGTGCAGAGAGAAGAGGAAGGGGTGTTTTGAATTGTCTTCTAATCACCCAGTTTGTATTCTACCAACAAGGAGCAATGGCGGTCAAGTTCCAGTACCATCAGTACCACCTGGGAATCATACAGCCCTGTGCTTGGCCCACTGGATCTAATTCTGTAGGGTTGGAGCTCCATTTTCATAAGCTTGCCATGCATTGTGGATGCATGCTGAAGGTCAGCAATTACCAACATGGAGAACTATTATCTTTAAAGCAGTGACCCTCGACCCACAGTTACCTCCACACATACATAGTTGGAAGGTTGTTTGTGAAAGGACTGTGAAATAGAGTTCCTGTGACTTTAAAAATATGCTTGGTGAATTAAGATGAACCTTGAGCATGTATGTCTGGAAAGCCTTATGTCTCATGAGGAAGTTTATGCTAGAATGCTTACTGGGGGGATATCTCCAGAATGCCTGCTTCCCTGACTGATCCTCTGTGGCCACAGGTTGAAAGGTGAGTTTCTTTCCTCCTCTGGTCTGGGGTTACTTAGCTAATTGATGGAGTCCATAAGGTAAATAGGTTAGACTTTTAATGATTTTTTTATGCCACATCTTGAAGCAGTCAAGTGCTAATTCATCCTTAAAAACTAAGTATGATGCAGATATGCAAGTTAGAAACTAAAGAATGAAGCAGCCCATTACTGTGCATACAGGGGTCATGTTGCTGATTCCTTGTCTCTATTCTGCATGGACACAGGTGAAACCTACCCTCTTTACAGAGAAACTGCACCATGGCATGAGTCAGGAGAGACATCTGAGTAAAAATCATATCATCATAGTATTAACTTGGTCTGCTTTGTGGTAAGCAGAGAATTAAGATGAACAAAAACTTTCTTTTCTCTACATATCTTAATAATCGCCAAGTTCTATAGTCATTAAACCTATGAAAACCCACAGATTCCATCATGTCAAATGATTGCACCCCAATAGAGTAAAGAGGCAGTGTACCCTTTGCTTACACAGCCAGGCATAATTCTCCTTAAATCAATCTGTGTAACTTCTGTAGCATTTCAAAACCAATATATTATGATGTCTTGAAAATAAAATAAAATTTTGGATTATTTAGTTTTCTTTTTCAAATACAAATTAGATTGCAGATCAAAGATTCACTAATAATTCCTTTCAGTATAAAAATATGTTCGCTGCAAAATGAATACAAAGCAAGTTGCAATTGACATGCATTGAGTTGTATGCAAGAAATAATTAAACTATCCATATAATATAGACCACCCTGTTTCTGTTTTGAGTTATTTGAGTTATTACAAGATAACAAGACAATGAATAACAATTATTTCATGGGGTTCTCATAATGGTTTTGCTGATAGTGTGCCATGCAAGGGATGGTGGAATAAGTGGTGAACTTCTACCCCAAGTCATATCATTATAAGGTTAGCTATTTGATCTATATCAGTACAGTGAATCCTACACAGCCCTACACAGAAGCATTACCACCAAGAAACAAAACAAAAACAAAACCCAAGTGTGGCACATCCTGCATGCTATTTGATCTATATCTTGCATGCTATTTGATCTATATCAGTACATTGAATCCTACACGGCCTTACACAAAAGTGTATTGGTGGCAATCTACCAATAAACAAAACAAAAACAAAACCCAAGTGTGGAGCATCCTGCATGCTGGGAGGAGAGGTTGATCCTATGAAGGAGCAGCTGCCTGGCAGTGCTCAGGTGAAAACGTGCCATGCAGCCATGCCCCAAAGTGGCCAGCACATTGCTGACAGTGCCAGAGGCAAGCATCCCTGTGGGCAGAGCCCAGTGAAGAGCCACGTGGCATTTAGAACTGTTTTGAACCAGTACACAAGCAGTCATTTGCTAATTTCATTGTAAAGAGAAGCACACATCCCGGTATTAATGAAGAGGGATAAAAATGATAAACTCTCCAGAGAGGAAGAATCCGGTCTGGGATTGCGTCTCCCTGATCAGTGTGAGTCAAAGTTGCATACACACCTGCACTCGCAGGAGGAAACTGGAAACTGCCATTAGTTTATACAGAATTTTTAATGATTTTTAAAGAAGTGTTGTGAGCACATATACTCACATGTGGGGGCCACACAAGGACACTGGGTGCCCATTACTCCCTGGAGACAAGGTCTCTCACTGAATTGGAGCTAGGCTTGTAGTCAGCAAGGCCCAGCCATGCCTCTGTCTCTATCGCCCACAATGCCTAGGTTACTCATGTATAAGTGGCCACACCCAACTTTTTACTTGGATTTGGGGATTTTAATTCAGGTCCAGTCCTCATGTTTGCACAGCAAGGTTCTTACCTACTGAGCCACTTCCTCAGCCCCACATGGTATAAGTTTCAAATGCCGTGAATATGTCTGTATTAAGGGTTGTACACGCTTCTCATAGCAAAAGATGACTCCTGTCCCGTACTGTAAAATCCCTAGTGCTGGGATTACAGGTCTGAGCCACCCTGCCTAGTTTCCATAAGATACTTTGCTTTTTGTCTTTTTGAGACAGCATCTCCCTGCAACCCCAGCTGGCCTGGAACTCACTATGGAGATCAGGCTGGCCTTGAACTCACAGAGATCTGCCTGCCTCTGCCTCCCGAGTGCTGGGACTAAAGACGTGTACCACTATGCCTGACAAATACTTTTTGATCTTTGTAAAAGCCCCAAGCTAAGAAACTCATTTAAGATATTTTTGCGTATGGATGACTATATTGGAGGGACTCTCCTTATCATTTTTATACTCTGATTGCATGGAGGAGACTGAGTGTAGCAACAACTAACATAATTCTGAATTAGTTAATTTTATTTTTTTTTTCTGAGCCACTTCATGCTATACTTGGCCTTGGATTTGGCTCTTGTTTCTTCTGAGACCTTTCCAATCCCCTTGCCAGTCCTGATTAGGTGTGCTTAAAGATTTTCTTAGGAATAGAAGACCAAAGATCAAAATGAAAGGAAATAGGAGAAAATCAGACAAGGGCCCAGAGTGGAGTGAGGGAAATGGGCTGCAGGCTGGCCCTAGTGTAGGAACTGTTGGAGACAGATTACTACTGGGTGAGAGAGAGTAGACCTTACTTGCAATCTTTAGATAGGCTGACTATTCTTAGGAATAGAAGACAAGAGATTAAAATGGAAGGAAATAGGAGACAATCAGACAAGAGCCCAGAGCGGAACAAGGGAAATGGGCGGTGTGGTCCCTAGCTGCTTGTGACCACTTATCCCAGCTTGAGATGCTGTAGATCAGATTGATGTCCTCAAACCTGTAACAGGAATGAGCGTGCTATGGGAAGAGGGGCCTTATTTTACACAAATTAAACTGAGACTCCACAGAAGCCCAGCTCATAAAAGCTCATTCTTCTTTTTAGGTTGGTGGTATCACATATATATTCTAGCACATCTCATTTGTGGCATGCTAAACACCAAATCTATTTTTTAAAAAAATCAAAAATAAAACTATATTGGTGTGGGCAGCAACTATATTTCTTTTTCAGGGTAAAGAATCATCCCACATAAAGAGGTATAATCTTAAAAGGCATCTGCATCTCAGGTACTTAGCAATACAAAGGAAATTTGCTTTCAAGTCCAACCTAGCTTTTTGTGGGGGCTGTATATCTTACTATAATAAAGTGAATGCAACTGGATCTTAACATTGTGGTCATAGCTCCCTTAGGTCTGTTTTATTCTTGTTGCTGTTGGTGTTAGATGGGGTGGGCTGGGGTTGAACACCTGCTCCATGACCCTCACCCTAAGCATCTTCCTCACTCCTCAATCCCCAGTCTCTAACATCAGTTTATGAGAAAAGACATGGCTGTGACAGGCAGGAGGAGACAGGTGCAGTGCTAATGACATTTCATTCTCTGCCTCATCCCAACAAGCAAATGAGAGAGAGCACGAGAGACGTGCAGCAATCCTCAGATGGAAGTGGACAAACAGCCAGGGGGAGGGCAGATGCTTGTCATCACAAACCTCGTAAGAGAATCTCTCTCCTTCCTTCTTCTGTTCGTGGATGTGCAAGACAAAGAATGTGGACAGAGACAGGACACATTACAGACACAACACACAGCACATTTGATGCCGCTTTCTCCAAAAGAAAAGTTAACCACAACATAGCCAAGAACACCAGTGCTACAACACATATTCTAGAACAATCATCAACTTCAAACTGATGGTACAATAGTGTAAAACATAAGCTTTGTGGTACTGTGCTGATCATTAGCATATATACTTAAATTTGATTATACAATGGGACAATGGACTTTATTTACTAAAATATTCTGCTATAGGTAGTAATCACCTTGTTAATAGAATTTTAGATATTATTTCATGTTCCTTGATAAACCATTTTCAAAACTAAAGATACTTTTGATAACAAAGCAAAATGTTGCCATATCCACTTAAGAGGCATTAGGTAAATTTGGCGTGAACACATACTCACCTCTTTCCCACCCATGGATTCAAACATTTTTTCCAGCTGGACTCGAAGTTGTTGGATATTGTTCATCAAGATGCAGGGCTTACATAAAGAAAATGAGAGGGAAATGTGAACATCCCTTGCATGTAAATTATTGAGTGAATTTAAATTAAGCATAGTAGTTTGTCACTATCGTTGATGTCCTATAATATATGTCACTATAATAACTCTACTATTTCACATTATGGTTTTAAATTTTTTATTTATTTTAATTTTATGTGCATGAGTGTTTTGCCTGCACATATGTAAGTGTACCACATGCATACAATACCTGCAGAGGGAAGAAGAGGGCATTGATCCTCTGGAACTAGAGTTACAGACAGTTGTGAGGCACCGTGTGGGTGCTGAGAACTGAATGTAGGTCCTCTGCAAAGCAGTCAGTGCTCTTCACTACAGAGTCATCACTCCAGTTCCATATTTTATTATATTTTGACACAAGCTCCCAGGAATCCTAGACCCCTCTGGAGTGCTGGGTTTACAGGCATATACTACCATGCATGATTATACAGTATTGGAGACCACACCTAGTGATCTAGTGTATGCTAGGCAAGCATTCTATTCATTGAGCTATATCTCTAGCCTACAACATTCTACTTTAAAATTTGGATTTGGGGAAAAACAAGCAGTTTAAATTCTTATGTAATTTTTCTATTTGAAAATCAAAATAATATCTGAATTTCTTCTTTAAATCCAAGAAAGCATACAGAAAATTTAAAATACCTTTCATGGATTTTCTAGTTACCAATAAGGACCACAAGCTAGTAACTCAAATCCCTTCATTACTGGCTCCAGACCACGTGATTTCCTCTTCATTTTGCCTTTGCTTATTTGAGTCCTTTGGGTTAGAGTTTTCTTTCCTGGATTTCAAATTTTCTGTCATTTACTTGGCATTTGTTTTTACAAGGCTTTATTTTGACTTTCTTTTTACTTAAACACACTGTAGAGGCTACCAAGTCTTATGATTTTTCTTACAGACTACTGCATTGTGCTTGTGTAGATACTTGAAAAGCATTTGTGTTATTTCCAAAGAGGCAGAAAAATGACAATAATGATATAAAACTTTGTGACAAGACCAGATGACAACTTAGAATTAATTTCTAATCAGGAAATAGACTTTGGCACAGTCACAGAATCATTTAATAGTTACTGCATATTGATTCCAAAGAATTCTTAGATCAGAGAGAAGACAACAGAGGTAAGAAATGGATACACCTTCCAAGTGTCTGGGAAAGGAGCCAGTGATGAATCAGAAGGTCACACAAAGGACTCATGGTATGGCAAAGAGGTGCTACCTCTCCTCAGTGGAAAGATTTTTTTATTGCCTTAACCATCAGAGACCTTTAAGAGACTTTGTACTTGACTCTTAAAGTGACCACAACCAAAGTGTGATTTATGAAAACAATTTTTAACCTCTATTCTGGTCCCTTGATTCTAGCCACTTAAATATCTTTTCACATACAGATAACCAAGATCTATAGCCCACAGTTTCTGAGGACTGAGCTGGCTATTCCAAACATGGTTCTGACCCCCAAACACCATCAGTGTTTCTTGATCCAAGCTTCCTGCTTTCTGTAGCATGTAGTAAAGTTTTCAGTATTTCAGGGGATTCAACAATTTGACCCAAAGTCCACATACAGAGCTAACCAGCATTTCAACTGGAAAATATTACAGAAACGTAGGTGCAGATGTGGCTTGGATGTGGGAAATCCTACCAGAAAGGAACCTGAGGTCAACGTAAGAAAGTGGCTTGTGTTGAGAGGCAGGGGAGGAGGGTGAATGCCCCTGCCCCCTGTGGGTCTGAGCCAGCTGGGCTCTTCTGTGATTACTGGACATGAGCCAGGAAGCCTATCTCTATCAGTACTTGTAGCAGGACTGGAGTGGCAACTCTCTCTATAAACACCCAAATATGATAATTTCTGATGAAAGAGCTACTCAGAGCAAGATGAACACAGAGAGTGGTGCTGCTTTGCTGATATGGCAGCTGTGGAGCCCCCAGCAAGGCTATGGACAAATAAATAAAGTTTAGTTTTCCAGAGGGAGATAAAAATAAATCTACATTTCTTCTTTAAGAGTCTCCTGACCTCGAAATGTTCAAAATTCACTTGCGTTACAATGGCTTATAAAATCATTAGTGAGAAGGAGATCACTGTTCAGCTGTACCTCAAATCTAATCATAAACAGCTTTATTTTAAACGATTCCATGGTCAATGATTACAAAGAAAGAAAGAACAAGCTCCCACCCCTAACTGAGTAACTGTGGGCAGTTCAGGCTGCTGGGGAAAGAAAGTCAGTTTTCTTTGAAAGTGTGGCTCCTGGTAGGTGAACTATGCTCCAGTGGCTGGAACCACACCCATAAGCATGTGAGCAGCACAAATTGGACTTGGTGGGTTATTAAAAAGGAAGAAAAGAGAGCACAAAGTTTGGAGGGGTGGAGAAGTGGAGAGAGGATGTGGGAAGATGGGTATGCTCAAAATACATTGTATGAAATCCTCAAAGAAATAGTAAAAATATATTAAAATAATATTTTAAAAGGAAGGACGGAAGAAAGAAAGAAAGAAAGAAAGAAAGAAAGAAAGAAAGAAAGAAAGAAAGAAAGAAATGCAGATAGTGGGGCACATGTCTACAATCCCAGCACTAGGGAGGCCGAGGCAGAAAGACTTCAATTTCAAAACCAGTCTGGGTCATGTAGCAAAAACTTATCTACAAAAACAATGAAATGAAATCCACAATAAAAAGAACATTAGCCTAATCCAGTTGCATTGCTTATTGAGGTGTTTAGTAATATAAAACAGTATTTTTGAAGCCTAATATCTTTTGTAAAGTTTAAAATTTTTTAAATTGTTTATATGTGTCTGTGTGTGGGTAGATACATGATTGCAGTGCCCACAGGAGGCAGAAGAGGGCATCAGATCCTCTCAAACTGGAGCTATAGGTGGTTGTGAGCTACCTGATGTGGGGGCTGGGAACTGAACTTGAGTCCTCAGCAAAAGCAGTATGTGCTCTTAACCAAAGAGCTATCTCTCCAGCCCCTAGTTGTATATTTATATTTGTATACTTTTATTTCTCTGCTAAACATGTCATGCACATTTCATTTTATCTTAATATAGAAACCTCAAATATGATGAATACTAAAGTTTCATTTAAACTTGGGCCATTTCTACATGCAAAAGTACTTCTGAGTTATAATGTTTAAAATAAAGAAATTGATTTAGATAATGAAGTTTTGATATCTTTTGGAATTTGCAAAATGTATAACAATGATTTGACTCACTTCCAGTTTAAAATGTCACAATAAGTTGGGGCTTGGTGGTGCACATATGTAATCCTATCACTGTGGAAGTGAAGGAAGGTGGATCAAAAGTTCAAGGTCATCCTTAGCACACGGCAAGTTCAAGGCCAGCCTGGGAAACAGGAGACCCTACTAAAAAATAATAATAAAATAGACCGTCACAGTAGAAAAACAACAATTTGCACACAGACATTTTGTAGACAAACTATGGACCTTTAATTCTGACCCTTGGCATAGCAAATATGGAAACAATTTTTAAAAATTAATTTATTATTTGAGAGAGGGAAGAGAGAGAGAGAGACAGAGACAGAGAGAGAGAGAGAGAGAGAGAGAGAGCAGAGATTGATTCTGAGGATCAAACTTAGATCATCAGGCTTCTCTTAGCAAAGCAAGTGCCCTTACCAGCTGAGCCATCTTGCAGGGCTCTTTGGTCCCATCTTAAAAAATGTCTAACTTAAAAGTTTCTCTCTCAGTTTGTAGTTGAAACAGATATAACACCATATATGTATCAAAAACTATAAGATAAATATCAATGGTTTTGAGTCTCAAAAAGATATATAATGAATATTTTCTGTATTCATACAAATGTACAAAAGCAATTCTGTTTGTGACCACTGAAGGCAAAAGTAGGCATTGAATCGAGGTTCCTCAATGAAATTAAAATGGTATTTTATACATAAATAACAGAGTATAAGGCTGGTCATGAGACCAGTGACCGGGATGAGCCATTACATTTGCAAGGGCTTTGAATTAACTATAAAAGATGTGATTTTGAAAAGTAAAACACATGTAGGGAAAATATAAAGAATACAATAAATATTGATGTTAATAAAGTGGTAGTGCTCTCTCTGACCCACAGGCCTTTGTGCCTTCCATGCTTTGACTCCACCGGCCTCATTCACCCCCTGCCCCCCCCCCGTCCTCCTACACTGGGACCTGTCCCATTCCTTGTCTTGGCGCCCCAGGCACCAGGGGAACCACCACTGCTTCCTGATCCTTTCCATCAAGACCAACCCAGTTCCTTCTGGAGTTCCAGGAGCCCTCTGGGCCTGGCCCCAACCTCACCTCCCTCTGCTTCCCTGGTCTGCACAACCCACCAGCCTCTTTCCTGGATGCTGGGTCTGACTTTTCCTCTTTCTGATCCTTTGCATCCAGACCAACCCAGTACCTCACTGCAGTTCCCAGGAGACCTTGGGGCCTCTTCCTGCCCCCATCTCCCTTTGCATCTCTGGGTGGCACAGCCACCAGCTGCCCTAGACCAGCATCTTTCTGGGTCCTGCTCCCAGACCAGTCCAACCCCCAAATTCCTGAGGCCAAAATCTTTACTGAAGGAATCCAGGCATAGGAGAAAGCCTGAGAGCACCTGTTCCTCATCTGACTTGGTCCTCTGTGGGAACTCCTGAGGACAAAAGCAATCTGGCCACTCCAATATAAAATCAAAAGAGGGAACCGGAAGCTTAGAGGAACCAGCTTTTCATGCCCAAAAAGTAAAGCACAAAGACATATAAAGTATACAAAAGGAAGCAGACCTAAACTTGAAGTCTTGACTCTCATACAAGCATCAGAAACTACAAAAGAAATTCACATGTCAAAATCACAGAGAAAAAATAACATAAAAAACCAAAATAACATATCCCTACCAAATACCAATAGTCCTCTAGAGGAGTACAATAAGAATGTCCTACGATAATGCAGGACATGGACTCAAAACAAAAATTATAAACAAGATAAAAGAATTCAGTGAATTTAAAGAACACACAAACAAAGAAATCAAAGAACTGAAGGAAGATAGGGATAAACTTCTGAATGAATTCAGAAAAGAGTTAGAAATATTAAAGACTACTCAGGCTGAAGTGAAGAAGGAAGTGAAACACTCAGTAAGCCAATTAGAAACAACAGGAGAAAGCCTCACCTATAAGATGAATGAAATGGAAAACAATAGCAAGACTGAAAGATAAAGTGGATGAACTAGGCGGATGAAGCAAAGATTATGAAAAATTTAGGAAAGCACAAGATTGTGTGACACCATAAAAAGACCAAACTTATGAATCATAGTCATACAGGAAAGAGAAGAATCCTAAGATAATGGCATCGACCAGATCTTTAACAGAATCATGGAAGAAAATTTCCCAAAATTAAAGAAAGACATGCCCATACAAATACAAGAAGCATATAGAACACCAAACAGACAGGACCAGAAAAGAAACTCTCCATGGCACATCATAGTAAAAACACTAAATGTACAAAACAAAGAGACAATACTGAAAGCTGCAAAAGAGAAACAACAAGTCCCATATAAAGGAAAACCCATTAGGATTACAGATGACTTTTCAGTGCAAACTATGAAAGCCAGAAGATCCTGGATCAAAGCATTCCCAGTTTTAAAAGACCTCAGATGCCAACCCAGATTACTATACCCAGCCAAAATGTCTATTATAGTTGAAGGGGAAAGAAAAATCTTCCATGACATAAATAGGCTGAAGAAATTCATGTCCACAAAACCAGCCCTTCAAAGAGTTCTGGAAGCAATACAAAGAGCCAAAGAAAGGAATGACTATACACAAGGGGTGACAGAAAGAAATTCAGTGAAGGTGTAACTGTCGAAATGCACAGCTATATCAAGAATATGAATAGAAATAAAAATGACAGGATTCAATACACATCTTTCATTAATAACTTTATTAATGGACTTGGACTGAACTCCCCAGTCAAAAGATACAGACTAGTTGAATGCATTAAGAAACAAAACCCATCTTTTTGTTGTCTGCAAGAAACTCATCTCACTTTCAAGGACAGACACTATCTTAATGTGAAAGGATGGAAAAAAATATACCAAGCAAATGGTGCTAAGAAAAAAACCAGGCATTGCAATTCTAATATAAGACAAAATAGACTTTAAACTAAAACTAATCAGAAGAGACAAAGGTGGCCACTTCATGCTGATCAAAGGAACACTAAACCAAGAAGATATTACAAACATGAACATGTATTCACCAAACTCTGGTGCAACCAACTTCATAAAAACAGTACTACAGGGTTTTAAGACCCAGATTAATCCCAACTCATTAATAGTAGGGGACTTCAACACTCCTCTGTCTCTATTAGATAGGTCAACAGGACAGAGAATTAACAGAGAGTCATCTGAATTAAAAAATACCACATGTCAAATGGACCTAACAGACATCTACTGAATATTCAACCCAAGCACCAAAGAATATACTTTCTATTCAGAGCCCCATGAAACCGTCTCCAAAATCGACCGTGTACTGGGGCACAAAACAAACCTCAACAAATACAAAATGATTGACAGAATTCCATGCATTTTATCAGACCAAAATTCAATAAAGGTTAAAATCAACACCGAAAGACACCCCATTATCCACATGAACACATCAAGATTAAACAATACACTCCTGAATGATGAAGGTGTCAAAGGAGAAATTAAGAAAGAAATAAAAGTATTCCTGGAACTAAACGAAAAGGACAATACAATGCAACAAAGCCTCTGGGGCACATTGAAAGCAAGAGGGAAGTTTATAGCTCTAAGTGCCTACATTAAAAAATTGGAAAGGGCCCAAATTAATGACCTAACACTGCAACCCAAGGCACTGGAAAGGCAAGAACAAATGAAACCCAAACCCAGCAGAAGAGAAGAAATAACAAAAATCAGAGCAAAAATTAATGAAATTGAAATAAAGAAAACAATACAAAGAATCAATGAATCCAGAGCTGATTCTTTGAAAAGATAAAAGATTGACATACCACACTAGCCCAGTTAACCAAAAGAAAGAGCACCTCCAAATCAACAAAATCAGAGATGAAAGGGGAAGCATCACAACAGACATCAGAAAGATACAGAACATTATAAGAGAATACTTTAAAAAATTATATGCTCCTAAATTTGAAAACCTAAAAGAAATGGAAGGATATCAAAAGGCATGGGACCTACCAAAACTAAACCAAGAGAGATTAACAGCTTAAACAGACCCATAACACAAAAAGAAATTGAAACAGTAATACAAAACCTCCCAACTGAAAAAAGCCCAGGACCACATGGATTTACAGCAGAATTCTATCAGACATTTAAAGATGATCTACATCCAATACTACTTAATTTATTCAAAAAAGATAGAAATGAAGGAAGAACTTACAAATTCCTTCTATGAAGCCAGCATCACTCTAATACCAAAGCCAGGTAAAGATACAACCAAAAAAGAAAACTATAGACCCATATCCTTAATGAGCACAGATGCAAAAATTCTCAACCAGATACTTGCAAACCACATACAGACACACATGAAAAAGATCATCCACCCTGATCAAGTCAGGTTTATCCCAGAGATTCAGGGATGGTTCAATATATGTAAATCAATAAACTATGAACCTGGAAATTTACAGGCACTTGTGAAAGAGATATACTCTTGCTCTGGAGTGTGTTACTGAATATGTTAAAGCTGTAATGAAATGCTTCTTCTAGTCATGTAGTTATTAAAAATTAAAAAAAATAGTTCATGTCAAATAGTAGAGGTGATAAACATTAACAGTGAAATCTACCTGATGACTTTATATCCATACTCAGGTACTAAGGAGCCAAGTGTAATCGACCATGACTAGTAATAATCAGATACATAGAGATTAAAGACACATGTGCAAACATGCAAATGTTAGTAGCATTAAAAATGTAGGGAACAGCGTATCTTAAAATGAAATGGAGATCTTCTTTAAAGGGTAAAACTCATTCAATTTTATGTCTTACAGGGTTTATACTGAGTTCAATATTGTATGACTGTTTTAATTCAACTCTGAACCTAAAAATTTACAGTCACCTTTGAAAGAGATGTATCCTTGCTCTAGAATGATATGTTAAAGCTGTAATGAAAAAAAAATTTTTAAGTCAAAAAAAAGTGGTCATCTGTAGGGCCTTTTAAAAGCTGTTTTTCCTTTCTGAATGACAGGAATCTGTTCTTCACAGACAACTTTCCAAACATCCATTGTGTTGGCCGAATAGAAACAGATTCTTTTCTGAAATTGTAAAGCAGTGTTCTGATTTTCAGTCTAACACTTAGACACGCACCACCTTTTATCTTTTCATTGGAAATATGTGCTTCCAGCAAGTAAATTTTCTTGCTTTTAGAGAATTGGAGTCAAAGGCAATTGGAAATCAGTGCTGAGGTTGTCTGAAAGTTGTCATAAAATTTCTGGGTAGCATATTAATTTAGGGGAAAAGGCGTCTGCTGGAATCTTCAAGAACCATCAGGACTGACTTGTCTTAATGAGCTGTCAACCTGAGGTCACCTGGGTTTCTGTGGAAGAGAAGTTGTAAAGCTCACGCTTCTTCCTCAGCCTTTCAGGCTGCTGTAGGCTGACTTTTATTTTTTGTGATGTAGGAAACCTTGGTCACCTCTTTAAACATTCTGTGCTTGTTTTTCAGTACTGCTCTTTAAAAAAGTTCCTACAACATTGCCCACATATTTCTCCAAACATTACGAATAATACATAAGGATAAGCTTTTGCTTTCCACCATAAAGTGTTGATTATATCACAAATAACTTCATCTTCATTTTCTTTTAAAATTTATTTATTTTCTTATTTATTTGTATTTATGTGTATGAGTGTTTTGTCTGCATGTAAGTGCATCATGTGTATGCAATGCCCACAGAGGCCAGAAGAGGGCATTGGGAGTTATGGATGGTTGTGAGCTACCATGTGGGTGTTAGGAACTGAACCCAGGTCTTCCGCAAGAGCCATCTCTCCAACTCCACCTTGGTTTTATTTATGCCTTTTGTTGAGTAAGTTGCAGTACTGCTTTGGATTTTGTAAAAGCTTCCTGAATCATTTTAAAAATCAGGAGATATTTACAATTCACACTAGGAAGCAGTACTACCCTTCTCAGTTCATTTGAAAACCAGAAGACTTAATTCTACTTATTTTAGTGTTGGTACAAAAGCAACAGTAGTTGGTGTCAGCACTCACCTATCTCTTAACTCCCTAGTTCTTAGCTTAGTGCTTTATGAGTATGTGGGGTTTTGATTATGTATCATCTTGTTTCTTATAAAACACAAAACCCACTCATTGTCAAGCATTGAGATACTTTCTCCCTTCCAGTGAATCTGGTATCAAAATCCACTCAAGATGCCTGGAGAGGTTTTCAAGCAATGTCTTAAGCTGAGATCCCTATCTCTTACCACCCCTATGAAACAGAAATTAATGATTTCTCAGTGTTAGAATTCATGAATCTCACTTCGGGACACTTGGGAACAGGGCAGTTTTGCTTACCACATTCTCCTTCTCACAGTATGAACTGAAGTCACTCGATACAATTGCAGCATACTGGACCAGCACTTTATTGATAGTCTGAGAAAGAAAACATTGTGAGATGCATCTAGGTAAGTGTACAGTCTTTTGTAGACACTGTCCAGGCTAAGGCTGTCAGGCAAACTAACATCTTTTTTAGTTAAAGGGAAACATAAAGTGGCTCAATACACAGTCCTGCCAAAAAAGACTTGCAATGAAACCTTTGTACATTTTCCTTTTCTTACTGTTATTTATTCTGTTATTCAATAATGTGACATTTGGTAAAAATGTTACCTACTTACTTCTATTCTCTTTTGTACCCAAATTTGATATTTTCCTATTTTCTCTAATAACTGCTTGTGAGCCTCTGCATGACTTCTGCTTCTATTATTATGCAAAGAGAAAATGAACCAACAATTAATTGAATTAATTTTATAATTGTGTGAAGGCACAACAATGAGTCTGCAGTCCTCTGCTTTTATGCTCAGGTGGAAGTATCCACCTAAAATGTGGATGGCATTTACTTAGAAAAGATGAAGCAACAGCAACAATTCAAATGTCATCTCTTCTTAGAAAATCAGAGACAAAAAACATTTATCTACTCCTTAATATGTATTTCTGGGCTGGAGAGATGGCTCAGCAGTTGCAAGCTCATATTGCTCTTCCAGCAGATCTAAGTTTAGTTCCCATCACCTATGCCAAGTGACTCAAAACCACCTGTCACTCCAGCTCCTGGGTATCTGACACCCTCTTCTGTACTCCATGGGAACCTTCACTCAAGTACACACCCACCCCACCCCACACACATGCACTAAATAAAAACATTTCTATAAATTTTTTAGTGGTTCAAAATTACCTGGGAGAGATATTTCCAAGTATTAATTTAAGGGAGAAATAATTAGTCTGTAAACTGAATCCAAACTTTGCTATTAACTTGTTTTGTAGACTTTTAAATTCACAATAAAAACCTAGAATTAGGGATAATATGTTGACTGAAGATTGATGCTTTACAGGAACATACAACACTATGAGAATAGAGTCGATCCAAATAGAAATTTGGAAAAGCAGAAGATCTCATCAAGCAGCGGATCAATAAATCCAGAGAGAGAGATGGCTGATTAGTCTGAAGGACCCTCTAGCATAGCTCTTCCTGTTTCCCCCTGGCCATCATGCTGAGTGATTTGGGGTTTCCTAGGGAGTTTTCACTCATTTATACATGTGAGCCCAACTCTCAGTTTATAGTTTCTCAATGATAGCACAAACTGTGGGTACAAATTCACCATGTTTGGAAAACTCACACACACGCCACAATCCTCATGTTCCAGCTGGCTGCATCTCACACATAACTTGCTGAGGGTAAGATGTGGATGGAAAGACACCTATCACAGTTCAGTGTCACTTAGATGTTTAGATATCTACTAGGTGACTTGGTGAATCAGTTGTTTTTCTTTTAATTTTTTTTTCCTGGAGAAGAAAGGAGAATCCAAGCAGCCAGCTGTCTATAATCACTCTCAGTGAATCCCCCTTCTGCCACTTGGATCTGAGTCAGAAGAAAACACTACCCTTGATTTCCTGCATGGAGAAAACTGGTCCTGGGATCTCACATTCACTACAAATGCTAAACTAAGTCCCAACTGCAGGATGTGCCATGGGTGAGGAGAAACATGTGGTCATAGAGGCTAAAGACCATTTACCTATCAAAATTGTAGAATGCTGCTGTCATGGCCCTGGGGTTGTGTATTAATACACAAAAAACCTGGATGAAAATCTGCAATAACCACTTGAGGGTATTGCAGATACCCTCAATTTTATTCTAATGTATTCAACAAAGTAAATCTGACCAGTCATTACTTCTTAATATAAATAAATAAGGAGTTGCTTCTGGCATGTATCCTAAGTCACTGGTTCTCAGAGCATATCACCTGGAAACTTAGAAATACAAGTTCTCAGTACCTCCCTCACATCAATGGAGTCAGCAACTCTGGATCCCCCAGGCCCTTTTTTTTAAAAAAAAAAAAAAAAAAAAAAAAAAACAGCCTTCAGGTGATTCTTATGCATGCTGCAGTTTCAGAACTAGGATATGAAGGAATGATGCATTGCAGACTGGAGCTCACTATTCAGAGAGAGCTACTTAGGAAGGGGATCTTAGCAAGGCACTGAAAGGAGGAGGGGTTCAGGGTGTGAGCTTAGCTTATGGCTTCACCTGCAGAGAATTGTGGGTGACAGAGCTGAGAACAGTGCATAGAGGGGAAACAGACAGATTCTTGGGAATGTTTCCATCATATCATAATAAAATCCAGTTTATACAAAGAAATAGTCATAACTAGTGAGGGTTCTTTAATGTAACAAAAGAATTGCTATTCAAAGAGCTCTGTATTAAAAACCACGAAACCCTAATGGCATTGTGGCAGTAGAAGGGGATTCTGGTGAATGTAAAGGATCAATTGGTATGACTAGAATGTCCCTCAACCTCAGGAAGTGCTGATGGAACATGCAGCAGATGCTGGTGTCTCAAGTGAGCTGAGACAAAGGCTGTGATTTCCCAAGCTAGTGTTTAGCTAACACACCCAGTCTATCTATTGCATTGCTCTGAAGTAAGTTAGGAACTCTGGCTCAGACTCCATCTTCATTCACATCGTGTATGTGAGAAAGAGAGTGAGTGTGTGTACGTGTGTGTGTGTGTGTGTTTGTGAGTGTGTGTGCATGTGTGTGTGTTCAGACCAGAGGCTGACATTGGGAATTTTCCTCAGTTGCTCTCCTCTTTATTGTTGGAGGCAGGATGTCTCACTGAATGTGGAGTTCATAGGTTCAGCCAGGCTGCTTAGCTAACAAGCCCCAGGGATCCTCCTGTCTCTGCCTCCCCAGCACTGGGATTACAGACATACGCCACCATGTGCAGCTTTTAACAAGTGTACTGGGGCTTCATGCTTGCACAGCAAGCAGGTAGCAGCTCAGTCACTTCCCCAGCCCGTTTGTCCATATTTGAAGTGCTGAATAATAGAATGCACAGAAAGAAAGGAAACTACCGCACCGGTTTAGTCAGTGGAAGTGGAACTCATCGCATTGTGTCTTGTATTTGAACACATCTTACATATGGCAAATCCCCCTCTTATTCTGCCACAGCTGCCTGGGCTTGGCCTTAAGGGCAAAAATACACCACTGTGGATTTCTGATCACATCAGGGTGAAAGGGAAGTGTGGCCGACTGGCTAGAAGCACTGCTCCCTTCCATTTCTACTTGGGTACTTTGTCACAGTTATCAGATCTTTTCATGCTGCATCATCATTTGAAAAGTTAGAGGATATAGTAGTGCCGACTTCATTGGGAATAAAATGATTAGCATATTATTGTGCTTGATGAATTATCATCATATTTTAAACTTGGGACCATGTTTCAGAAAATGTGTGTGTCTTTGTTACACAGCTTCATCATGTGGCAGACAGCTAGATATACCTTGAACTCAAAGGGGATGTGCCGTTTTTAAGGAATATAGACAGAAATTGTTCCTTTGTACCTCTGTTTTATAATTCAGCCACCTATACTTTCCAGAACAGCAGGATATTTAGAGCAATATCCAAGCACTGAAGCACAAAGTCTGACTTATAATGGCTTCTGCAGGTCACCATTCAAAAATGTGCAGGATTTTCTTTGGTATCTCGTTCGGCCTCATGTACATTTAAAGAGGGAATCACCCTGTAAATCCCATTTTAGACTGTTTAATCTTTTGAAATGCCTGTAGACATCATTACAACATCTTACACCAAATACATATTTTAAATCATCGTCCCAATGTGATTGTGGTTTATTTTGATACAAGGATCCAAGGTCTAAGAAGGTAGGGTTTTCAAGACCAAGGGTCACACGTGGTGGAAAATGAAGCGGAACATGAAAAAAATTCCAACAGTCAGCTGTTACTGCAAAATATAAATTATATTAGTCATCGACTCTCATTTTATCTACTCTTTTACATAAAATGCAAATTATAGATTAAAGACTGGTATTGGTAAAGTGAATTTGAATGAGGTTCACTTATTTTTATATTCACATAATTAATTTTTTGGATTTTCATTTTTTATTTTCTTGTAAGACCCTATGAGACTTAAGAAGAATCAGACATGATTTTTTTTTCAAAATTTTCTCACCACAGAATTTCTTTTCATTGTCAATTACTAATTTCTGTTTTTCTAGGAAATATTGTTACTTTATTTCTATTTATTTATTCTTTATTTCTAATTTATATTTTTCCAGGAAATGTTGTTGTTACTTTATTTCCTTATGATAAGAACAGGATATTACTGATTTTTCAAGGAAAATATGTTTTATCTAATTGGATTTTTTATTGTGCCAAAAAAAAAATCATGAATTTCTTCCACGCCATGTATGGGATACTATTTCTTTCCATCTATCTTAGATAATGTGTTTTCCTAGTTGTGTTCTATTAAGATCTCTTTTGTGATTTTCAACTTGAGTCTCAGGCTGGGTCACCTTGCGAGGACAGAAAGATCAGAACTGCTCAAGGCAGAGCTGGAGCTGGGACATGGTGCCTGCTGTGACTCCTGAAGGCAAATTCCACTCCCCTTTCCAATAGTGAACACAATTGTAACAATGTGTTACTAAATATACTAACTCAGACATTTCAAGTCTCTCTGATCTTTCCTACACTAAAAGTCTCTCAAAATTTCAAAAATAGCATGTGACATATTCTTTCAAGCAATTTATTCCAAATGATCTCATTTTATTCATTTTGGGGAGGCACTTAGTCAATATTTAACTATTAGTCAAGAAAGACTTAGGACTAGAGAGAGAGCTTAGTGGTTAAGACCATTGGCTGCTCTTGCAGAGGACCCAGGTTGGGTTCGCAGCACCCACATGGTGCTAATAACCATCTGTAACTCCAATTCCAGGGGATCTGATGCCCTCTTCTGGCCTCTGTGGGCATTGCATGACATGGGTGCACTTACATACATGCAGGCAAAACATTCATGCACATTAAAGTAAATAAAACATTAAAAAAAGAAAAGATTTAGAGACTTCTTAGAATAATTCTGTATATTTTCCATATTGGGAAAGTATAATCACCTATTACCCAGAAAATCTTCCATACGAATGACATAACTAAATTATTTTGGGGCATTATCTTAACAACTGGGCAGTCATTTTAGTCATTCAAGTCAATAAAGACTTGAGCTCAACACAAGTCATAGCAGATAAATTTTGTAAAAAAAACATGACAGTTTGCTTGAAATCCTTTACAGGGTCCTGACTGTCAGCAAAGTCAGTCCAGCCACCGTGTCTGTTTCTCAAGGTTTTGACAAAGTAGACTAACTTTTCCCACTTAGCTCTGTGAGCCTTCTCAATCTCACCCCTTGTCAGTGTCTCTCAGGCAGAAGCTTTTGAGTCACAGAATAGTGGAGAGTCCCCCTACAGGGTCACCTAAACTGTCTGGTGTTCTATGACCCAGAAGTAAATATTCATGAACTGTGGCGTTTCTGAATTTAATTGTTAGCACAGTATGATCTATTCTACCATGATTAACAAAGAAGCTCTGTGCTACAAGATATCATTACTAATTAGAAGAAAAAAAACTATCTTCTGAGAGGCAGGGCTAGTGACAAGGTCAGAGCTAAGTCTCCCATTCACAGAGGTCCTTAACTTTAATATTCTGGGATAATGATGATGAAGGTTATGGACTCATTATGGCTGTGATTAAAAGCATTAACTTGTTCAGTATCCCCATCTATTATGAGCTAGCCAGTTTTCTCAAAGCTTGTCAGTCAAACCTCTCATCAGGAGTTCAAAATGTGTCATTTTTGGAGACAGGATGTCACCAATATGCTTAGAGATAAGGCCTCAAAGAGGCAATTAAGTAGAACTGGGATTTCTAGGATAGACACTACAATCTAATCTGCAGGTGTCCTTGTAAGAAAAAAACCCGGACACATAGAGCCACCAGGGTACTCTGAGGTCAGTTCTGGTGAGGTATGGGAGAAAAGTGGCCTTATGCAAGCCAAGGAGAAACCAAATGTATGGACACAATGATCCTGTGTATCAATCTTCCAAACCGTGAGAAAAGGCACATCTGCTGTTTAACGTTCTCACGCAAGTATTTTGTTATGGCAGTCCTAACAAACGAATATAAAATCTTAAATATATCACACTTTAAACTGGATTTTGGCATTTCTTAATTTTTCTAATATGATAAATATAAAATATTTATTAAGAAAATTTGAATTTATTTCTTTATTTATGAGACCCAGAAAGTAAGTATATGTTCAACTTCTCTGATAGCCTGGTATCTATTTGACTGTGTATGTCACAGTGCAAGATTTTTAATGCACTCACAACAAGCTTTTTTGAGGTCATAGATTATAATTATTCATGTTAACATTCTCAAAGCAGCAGGCAGTGAATGACTGAGGCTATTTGGGGGGTTCTTCTTGAATGAACATTGAGTACCTCATCATCATTTAGCCCAGAATCATACCCATGTTTCTACTGGTCAGACACAGAAGTGTGCAACAGCTCCCCTAAATTATTATGTGCAATGTAATTACCCTGTGTCAAAATTTTAAACTGGGGGCTAGAGGGATGGCTCAGTGGTTAAGAGCTCTTCTTCCTGCAGAAGACCCATGTTTGGTTCCTAGCATCCATGCCAGGTGGCTTGCAACCTTGTGTAACTCTAGTACCAAGGGATCCAATACCCTCTTCTGGCCTCCAAAGGTACTGCACTCACAGGTCATGCACACAGAGATACACACACACACACACACACACACACACACACACACACACACATAGAAACTAACCTTTTAAAAAATTCTAAAATATTCAGTGTTTCCTAAACTGATCAAGAGATGAGATCTAATCTTTTCAGCGTGTAAAACAGAGCTCTTCAAGACTTGAGCCCTTCTACATTCTCCCAACCTGTCTTGTGCTTTTCCTGCAAAGGACTACTTCCTCTCCACACCCCTTCCTTCCCCTCCTCCTTCTCCTCCTCCTCCTCCTTCTTCAAGATTTACTTATTTTTATTTTATGTATATGAGCGTTTTGCCTGAATATATGTGCACCATATGTGTGCAATACTCACAGAGGACAGAAGGGGACACTGGATCCCCAGGAACTGGAGTTACAGACAGCTGTTATCTGCTACATGGGTGCTGAGAACCTAACCTGGGTCCTCTGCAAGAACAGCAAGTGCTCTTAACTGCTAAGCCATCTCTCCAATCACTGTCTTGTCTTCTTATGCAGCCTAGGACCATCCACCTAGGAATGGTGCTGCCCATGGTGGGCTGGGCCCTCCTACATCAACTAACACAGTCCAGACAACTCTGCCCACCCTCCCCTCCCAATGTATTCATAGGCCAATCTGATCTAGGCCTTCTCAGATTTCTCTTGGCTGTGTCGAGTTGACAGTTAGAGCTAACAGGACAGTAGGGAGTTTAGGGCCTCATGCATACTAGGTAAGAGTTCAACCCTGAGCCACACCCTCAGCTGTGCTTCTTCTGTTTGTTATTTCCCTTCACACACTAAAGTTGTTTCACACAGCATGTTAAGAGGTAAAAATGGCCCTAAGAGAAATTTGGTTGATGAAAATCAACCTATCAAATAACAATGCCAAACACATAAAAATCAATTTCACTGCTCATATTTGAATGACATGGTATTGTCTGATGTGTAATCAGAGCTCAGCTTTCCGACTACAAGTCCAATACATACTCTAGTACATTCAAGTGTCTGCTAAAAACTACTTGCCAATTTGAGTATGAATCACCAAGGCTCACTTTTAGCTAGAAAAAAGCTACATTTGACATTGAAATAATTTGGTCATCCATGGAAAAATCCTCATTTATAAATGACAAAGTCATTGGTGGGAACAATAAATCAATAATAGAGAAACAGTAGGTGTGGGAAAGCACATAACAATCTAGAGAAACAGTAGATGTGGGGAACAATCTCTAGGAACAGTTGGTGTGGGAAATCACATAGCAGTCTTGGAAGCAACCAAACCTGTGAGTATAGAATTACAAACTGGACGAGAGCAGTGACATCGGAGAAGAGTAATCCTATGACACAGCTGAGACATTTAGGATGGACAGTTCCAGAGAAGACTCGTCTCAGGTAACCTACCTTTGCAAATCTTCTCATTAAGTGAGATAAGGCTTCAGGGTTGGGACATTCCAGTTTCTTAACAATCTCAAAGCTCTGGTTAAGCTGAGCAAAGACATCGACCACAGAGCATGAGAAGAGGGCATGATCCGACGTCTGCTGGAACTGAGGGAGAGGAGAAAGACTGTCTTACTGCGCATGTTAGGGAGGTGAAGGGATGGATCTACATTGTGTTTCTAAACAACAGATTTTCCCACCTTGTACCTGTATTGGGTTTGAAGGTCACCAAGGATAGACCCCCTCCTCTATAATCAACAGCCTGTGAACCCAAGAAATGCAGGAGTGTAATTGTTTCTGACCCTGGAGGTCTTACAACGTCTATGGACTCAAGCCAGGAGACAGAGATTGCAGGTAGAGATAGTTTATGTTCAACTTTTTTACCTGGGTGCTGGGGATTCCAACTCAAGTCCCTATGTTCACATGACAAGGACTTTATCCACTGAGTCATCTCCCTAATTCAAACATGGAAACATTATAGATTTATTATTTTTATTTTTCAGGAAAATGTGGTAAAATCTCAAAGAAAATCATTCCTAATTTCTATAAAGGAAAGTTCTCAGGGGACTTATGGGGTAATGGGTAGAAGATCCCTACACTTGGCAGCGTGTTTTGAATTCAGACATATTATTTGACCTTTTTGATGTAGCAATCTGTAGGGGAGAGGCTTGCTTTAGATTCTCTTAGAAAATCAGCTTTGGGGGATGTGGTGATGCACACCTGTAATTCAAGCAGTTGGGAGGCTATGGCAGAAAGATCCTGAGTTTAAAACCAGCCTTGGCTAACACAGCCTGGGTTATATGAGTCCCTGTCTCAAAAAGCAAAACAAGACAATCACCTTTGGGCCCACCTGTTGTGTCTCTATTAACACACTAATTTTAAGGAAAATAGAAATACCATAGCTGCCCCTCTCCATAATTTAAAATACCATTTGAAAAGACAGTTATAGATGAGACATAAGAGGAAGGTGGTATTAGCAGGGCTTTGTTGAGGACCATTAATATGAAGCTGTTTATTTTGTGCTGCCACACTCAACTTTTTTACCTGGGTGCTGGGGATTCCAACTCAAGTCCCCATGTTCACATGACAAGCACTTTATCCACTGAGTCATCTCCCTAATTCAAACATGGACACATTATAGATTTATTTTTTTATTTTTCTTTTTCTTTTATATGTATGAGTATATTGTTTGCAAGTATATAAGTGCACCCATGCTGTGCAATGTCCGTGGAAGTCAGAAGAAGGCTTCAGATCCTATGGAACTAGAGTTAGGATGGTTGTTAGCTACCATGTGGGTATTTGGAATTGAACCTGGGTCCTCTGCAAGAGCAGCCAGTGCTTTTTTTAAAAAAATATATTTTATTTAGTATTTTTATTTTATGTGTATGTATGTATTGCCTGCATGTCAATAAGCCCACCCAGGTAAGCTCCCCCATGTTGTGCAATACCCACTGAAGACAGAAGAGGCTGTCAGATCCCTTGGAACTGGAGTTATGGACAGTTAGCTGTCATGTGGGTGCTGGGATTCGAACCTAGGTCTTCTGCAAGAACAGTCAGTGTTCTTAACCACTGAGCCATCTCTCCAGCCTCCCCCACAGCCAGTGCTCTTAACCTCAGAGCCATCTCTCTAGCCCCTATAGATTTACTTTTTTATTGTTTTCTTTCCTTAATTCTTTTTTTCCCAAAGATTTATTTATTTTACATCTCTGTGTGTCTGTTTATATATTTGTGCAGGTGCCCAAGGAAGTGAGAAGAAGGCATTGGATACCCTGGAGTTACAGGTCTTTCTGGGCTGTCCAACATGAGTATTGGGAACCAAACTTCTCTGCTCACAATTGAGCAGCAAATACTCATAAATTCCATGTCATCCCTCCAGTCCCTTTTTAATTTATTTATTTATTCTTCTATGTTACATGATTTTTGGTCAACAGAATGGGATCTTAGTTGTATCTCTGGCCCTAGGAGAAGACATGACTGCTAAAAAATCATAAGATTACCACCTAGCAAGGAGCTTTCTGATAAAGAACAAAAACATATCACATTTATTATTTCCTGTCCCTTGAGAGTTAATCCAAATGGGCCCCTCAGGACCCTGGACAGGAAAATGCCTGTGGAGAGAAGCTTCTGGTTGAGGAACTTTAGATACCAATATAAAACCTACCTAATGGTGTAGGTTGGCACAACAGTCCCTTTGGCCACTGTCTACTCCCCACTCTAAAAGTGTGTTGCCCTCCTAAATGATGTCATTGGCCACTGTCCACCTCACCCCTCCAGACTGTGCCCTATACAATGGTCTCTGTGGCCACTGCTCTTCTTACCCATAAGACTACCTCATGTTATTCTATAATGAACTCTTCCTGACTTCACTGAATTCATTCCACAAAGATCACAAGGACCAGTAACTAGGGACAGGAGGTGGGGGTCAGGGAGAAATCCCAGTAACACCTACATTTCCCAGCAATGAAATACTACATCACTTTCAAACAGTTAACTCCCTTTCTGGAAATGGTTGGGGAAATAATATCACAGGGCAGGCAGCTGCTGATGGATCTCTTCAAAGCTGACTTGGGGGATGGGCTCTTTCATATTTCCTGTTCATCGCAGGAGCATTAGGATAGTTCAGTGAGCTGGGTTTGGGCTGAAGATTTTTTATCATTGCTGCGAAGTTCCTCCTGTAGAGATTCTGGAAGAGTTCCAGGAAAACATGCATGCTTTGTAGGAGCCTGGGGAACTTGTAGAGTCAGACTAAGACAAGTAACGAAGAATCTTGGGGCAAAGGGGTGATTGATTTTCCTTGTTTCCTTTTAATTTAATTAATTCCTTCAGCTCTTTGAAACTGTGTTAAAATCTGTTTTAATCATTGGGGAATTAAAATACAGCTGAACTAAAAACACTGAGCCCACATCTCCCATTGGCTTAAAGGTGAGCGAGGCAGCTGAGCTGTGGCAATAAGCAGGTGTAAAGCAATCTGGACTCACTCCATCTTTTTTATCTCTTCCCAGTGCTCCGTGAAGAAACTCCATGGACACGTCTTCATTTTCATCCAGCCACTGCATGACAAAAGGCTCAAACCACCTAAAAAAATAAGTGTGTTACTGCCCAGAGCATCATTTGTATATGATTAACAGGGTATGCTGCTCCTCCTTGTGTGAGTGCAACTCAGATTCAGAATCTTTCAGTTTGCTTCCTCTGAGATCTTTATACCTCCTCAAATACAGCCCCATACTTTCAGTCTCTTCCTTTGTACTTCCTTTGTTGCCTCAAAAGTGCCTGGCTCTGGAAACCCACTTAGCAATTCCTTCTGCAATTCAAAGCCTCTGAACTTGTGAGTCCACCATCCCTTAATTCTTTTTCATTCTTACATAGCCACCAATCTCCAGTAGACAGTCTTGCTTACCTCTGACTTCTTAAATATAGTCTATAGGCCACCTGCCTTGGTTTTCTGATTGGTCTGAGGTAAGTTTTAAAGCTCTTACAAGCTCTTTTGCCAAAGGGATGGCCAGTTGATCTAGCACCATTTATTTAGGTCTATCTACCAGGCAATGGTTAATGTGTGAGTCACTCTCTGGACTACTTTGTTCCATTGGTTCATTTGTTGTTTCCTAAGGCCCAACTCTTTTAAAACTGTATCTTTTTAATAAGTCTTGGTAACCATAGTGCAGCTCTCTAGCTTTTAAAGTTACTCTTCAGCATTACTTGGGAGTTTTCAGCTCTTCGTATGTTCTAGATGTGTGTGTGTGTGTTGGTGCATGTGTGTGTGTGTGTGTGTGTGTGTGTGCATGTGTGTGTTCAAGTCACTATGCATGTATCATGTCTTCCTTGATCATGCTTTTCATTCTTTGAGGCAGGGTCTCTGGTTGAACCCAATGCTCACAAACTCTGGCTAGTCTACCTAGCCAGCTGACTCCAGAGGTCCCCTGTCACCACCTCCCAGGTGCTGGGATTGTAGGCAGGCTACCACATCTGCTTGAAGTTGATATAGGTCTGGGGATCCAAACTCTGGTTCTTGTGCTTGCACAATAAGCTCTATCCATGGAATCACCTCCCCAGACCTTTATAAACACTCCTGAATGAACTTGTCCATGTACAGAAGAGTAACTTCTAGAATTTTTATAGAATTTTATTGAATCTGTCCATCCTTGTAGAATAACTGCCATCTTCATAATAATTGATCTCTTGAGGAATTATGATGCTTAATTTTGTCAACTTGACTGGATTTGGAATCACCATGGAAACATCTCTGGACATCTCTATGAGGGTATTTCCTGAAAAATCTAAGAAGGACCCACTTTAAACGTGGGTGGCACCATCCCATGAGCTGGGGCCCTAGACTGATAAAAAGTCAACTGAGTACCAGCATAAATTTGTCTCTCTGCTTCCTGACTATAGATACAATGTGACCTCAAGCTCCTGCTGTTAAATCCATCCCCACCATGGTGGAATGCACTCTCAAACCTGAGCCCAAGTAAGCCCTTTCTTCTTTTTTCCTCGAAGATTTTGTTTTATTTATTTTATTTTATTTTATTTATTTATTTTATGGTCTTTTTCAGACAGGGTCTCCCTGTAGCCCCAGCTACCCTGGAACTTGCTACATAGACCAGGCTGGCCTTGAACTCACAGAGATCTGTCTGCCTTTACCTCCTGAATGCTGGGATTAAAAACATGTGCCACTAGAACCAGCTTTGTTTTATTTTTCATTAGTATACAGTGTGTGCGTGTGTGTGTGTGTGTGTGTGTGTGTGTGTGTGTATGCGTGCGTGTATGTGTTCCCATTGCACTATTGGCCAATGGAATCAAAAAGGAAGCCCAACTATCACAATCACTGCTCAAAAGGAACAATACTTACTGGACTGTATGGAATGCGGAAGAGATTTCTGATACTTTAATACTCAGAAAGTTGAATACATACATTCACCATGGAAAAAAGTAAAACTACACTTTTTTATTTTTAAATTACCCTTTCTTGTTCTCAATTCTAAATATTATATTATTTTATATATACACATGCATTTGTTTACATATGTACACATATACGTTATAAGCTAAGAATTGCATATGAGGGAAAACAAGTATTTGTTTTTATTTTATTTTCTGAGATTACGTGACCCCACTTAACACTATACATTTCTAGTCTATCCACTTTCCATTTTTAAATTTCATCATGCTTTAAAGCTAAATAATAATTTCATTACATACACACACACACACACACACACACACGATTTTCATTATCTGTTGATGGACAACTAGATTGGTTCCATTTCCTTGCTATAATGAATAAAGCAGCAGTAAACACAGGGGTACAAATACCCCTACAGTAAAATAGGGAGTTCTCTGGATACATGCCCAGGAAAGAGCTAGCTTATGTGTATGTGTTTGTGCATGTGTGCATGCAGTACTCAGATAGACCAGAATGCGCTGCACCTGCTGGAGCTAGAGTTACAGGCAGATGTGAGTTGCTTTACATGTGTGCTAGGAGCTGAACTCTGGTCCTCTGCAAGAGCAGCAAGCATGCCTAACCACTGAGCCATCTCTCCAACCCCTTTAGCTGTTTTCTTACTGTTATTCTGAGGTTATCTTTTATTAGATATTATAAAATAGTTTCCTTGTATTCTTAATGGATTGATTAACTTTTATCACTAATTGTACCAATTTTTCTGTCTTTTCATTTTCTAGGACTCAGTTTTGTATCTTAACTGTTTACACTGTGTTCTTTGCATCTTTTGGTTATTTTTTCTATAGGTGGCATTTTACCCTTTCTTTCTACACAGCTGTCCCTCTAAATCTACCTTACAGTTACTTTTGTTCCTCTTGTGCTATGTGTAATTTGTCAATCAACTTATTTGTTATGGTCTTAATTTTGCCTCAGTTCTCTAGGTTCCAATTCATTCTTATAGATTCAAGTTTTTCTGTTGAAATCCTCCAACATTTTAAATCATATATCAAAGTCTATGATTTATAAGACTAATATTTGTGTTTTCTCTTGTATTATAGACATTTGGGTCCTGTGGACTGGTGGCCTTTAATTTTTTTTTTTTCCTGCTCAGTGTTATATTGTTGCTTACCAAAAATTCCACTGTTCTTTTGTTAATCATTTATTTCAGAGAGGACTTAAATTCCTCTTTGGAGAGAAGAAGAATACCTTGATGCAGACAAGGCTGGCTCTTGGTTCTTCTTTCTCCATTTTGCTCTTATTTCAAGGACAAAGCCCTCTGGATCTCACTGAGTCTGGAGTTTCTAAAATATTCCTGCTTTTCAACAAGTGTCGCCCCCTGTTGACCTGTTTACACAGTGGAGCTGCTGAAGCGTTCACTTGGTTTAAATTTCTGGCTCACTTTTGACTTGATGTTTTTGTGCCTCAGTCTTTACACATGGACAAATTATGTGTGTGAAGGAGGTTGTATCTCCAGAGCCCATGTAAATGCTGGATGGATGGTATGGCAGCACATCTGTAATTCCAGCCCTAGGAAGATGGAAACAGGGGGTCCCTGGAGCAAGTGGGCTAACTAGACTAGCCCAATCGATGAGCTCTGGATTCAACTGAGGGACCCTACCTCAATGAATATGGTGGAGGGCCATCTAGAAAAACATGTTTCCAACCTCAGGGGTAATGGCAGGTAGAGTGATGCACTCACTTTTCTGTCTGCCCATTTCTCTGGGATTTTGGTCCTACAAGTCTAAGCAGGCTTTATAACTCTGAATTCCAATACCTGTTTCTCCTGCCCACCTGGAGAGATTGCTATAAGCTCAGAGCTACTGGTACCCATCTGCTAAGATGGCCAGCAGATGTTGGGTATGGAGCATGTGAAAACCCTTGTGTGTAGACACTCCTCTGCACACTTCTCTTTTCTTGCAGATTCTTCCTTCCTGGCCACCATGATTGTTCTCTGATGCTATTTAATTTTGTTCACTTTTGCATTTGGTGTTTAGTGAGCAAGTGAGGGAGATTTAGTTTAATGTAGTAATTCTCGACAGCCATGGCAGATGTCTGGCGAATAGCTCTCCTGTTCCCCTTCCCTTTTCTTGATCACTAGTACCAGTAACTGCTTCTGTGCACGTGCTTAATGCCCAACTATTTTTCCATTTCTTCTTCATATATGTATATAGCTGACAAAGTTTTAAAATTCTATCTTTAGAATTTCTTTCCCATATGTCCTAACCATCTGTATTTTCATTTCAAGTGCTATATGTAATAGTAAGCCTTTAAAATATAGTGCCTAGTATATGTATATATATATATTTGTTATCATTGTTTGTTTGTTTGCTTGTTTTGTTTTGTTTTGTTTTGTTTTTGAGACAGAATCTCCCTATAGCCACAGCTTGCCTGAAACCCTGGAGCCTGCTGTGTAGATCTGCTTCTGCTTCTCAAGTGTTGAGATTAAAGGCATGTCCTACCATGCCTGGCCAGTATTTTGTTTGTAATTTTTAATTTTATTTTTAACTTAGTAATCCTTTTAAAATAAGGTGCATGGTTTTACTTAATTTTCAGCATTTTCAATTGACAGAAGTATGCATATTTATTGTATATAGTATTTTGAAACACACACACATATACTTTATGGAAAAGTTAAATCAAGTAAATTAGTGAATACCATGATTAATCAAAGTCTGTATAAAAATGTCATAGTTAAACCCTTGACTTGTATGCTAACTTAAAACATTAAAAAAATGTATTACCTAACATACTTACAATGTTTTGGTGTCAATTCTTATGGTGTGAAAGCATATTAATTCAATTCCTAGCAAATTTCTGCAAATTTTCATTTTTATTTTTTCCCACACTCGGGGAGGTGGACCTTGGGTGCCCTCCATGATTGCTGTTTACCTTACTCACAGAAAGAGGTCTTCAGTTGAACCCAGAGCTCGCTGATTGGGCTGGTCTAGCTAGTCAGCTTGCTCCAGGAATCTTGTTTTTAGCTTCCAAGGGCTAGAATTACAAGTGGGCCCCTGTGTCCACCTGGCAGTTTCATGAGCTCTGGAGAATCTGAACTCCAATCCTCACATTTGTGTGGCAAGCACTTTGACTGCTGAGCCACTTCCCCAGCACATTTCTTAGCGGTTTTCAATATTTTAATACACTGTGAGGAACTAGGGTCATTACCTTTTCTAATAGCTCTGTTGAATATATACCTCTTTTTTGAATTTTATAAAAATCACTTTCTTGTAACAAACTCACAAATAAAATCATCACACTGCTAGACTAAGGGAGCCGCTCAAACACTTGAGCATATTCCTTTTATCTGAAGCCTATATCCTGTGGCCCACATCCTCCCATGTACCCCTCATGGTGTAGACCGCTAAACTGTGTCGCTGTGCTATTCCATCACATTGCAGGTCTATGAGGAGAGGCACACTAGAGGCTGTTAGCATCTCATCATTACATTGCTCATTACCTCCTAATCTTTGCTGTCCCCCAGTCTCTGTTTCCTCCAATTCCCACAATGCCTACTGACTGCTGTGCATGCTTCATAGCATCTATTTATAATGGCCTAGTTTAAAGCCACTTTTCCCATATACTACCTACTGACAGAATAACACCATTGCCAATGCAGCATAGCCCACATGTGCCAAATGCTCAATCTTCATTTTTATCTTAATGCTTTCCTCCTTCTCGCTACCACAACTTGGACCACATTTTTGAAGTCTGCAACAGATGTGACTCTATCTGGTAATGTCATGTGTCAAGTGGAATTATACCCTCTCTTCTCTGAGCTGCTTTTGTGTTTGTTTATATTCCTTAAATGAGCTTGTTCATTTGCCTTGCTATACCTTTTTAAAAATATTTATTGTTATTACTTTAAATTATGTGTGTGTCTGAGCGGGGGTATGAATGCAGACTGCAGGTATCCAAGGAGGCTAGAAGAGGGTGACAGATTCCCTGGAGCTAGAGCTCCAGGAAGTTGTGAACAGTCTGACATGGTTGCTGGGACTCAAACCCAGGTCCTCTGCAAGAACAGCAAATGCTCTTAACTGCCGAGTCATCTCTCTAGCCCCTTTCATAACTTTTGTGACTATAAATATCTCCTAAGTATCAGCCCCTTTCAGGGTGAAGTGTTTATCTCATGCATATGTCTACAGCACTTGGCACAGTGACTAGAGGTTGGAAGACAACTGTCTGTAGAATAAAACAGTTCTGGTAAACTGTGGGTACAGAATACCATCTGAGTGACTGCACAACAACAAATGTATGTGACAGAGACTTGATGGTTAGTTAATCTCAACTGTGAATTTAATAAGCCAGAGAATCACCTGGGAGATGAACCTCTGGGCATGCCTGAGGACCATCTTGATCTGGCTAATTGAGGTGTGAAGATACTCCTACAGTGGGTGGTACCATCCCCTAGGCTGGGATCCTGAACTGCACAAAATGGAGGAAGTGAGCTGAACACAAGCCTTCCTCACTTCTGCTTCTTGACCTTGGGTGCCATGGGACCAGCTGCCCCAAGCTCCTGCCTGTGTGGCTTCCCCACAGTGATGGACTGTACACTGGAACTGTGAGCCCATATAAATTCAATCCCTTTACATTGCTTCTCTCAGTGTATTTTATATTTTTTATTTTATTATTAAAATTTTTAAAATTTTATGTGTATGAGTATACTGCCTGCATGTGCGTAAGTGCACCTGCGTCATGCAGTGCCAACTGAGGTCAGAAGAGAGTGTCAGATCCCCTGGAACTGGAGTTACAGGCAGTTGTTAGCTGCCATGTAGGTGCTGGGAATTGAACCCTGGTCCTCTGCAAGAGCAGTGATCTTAACCACTGAGCCATCTCTCTAACCCCATCAGTGTATTTTATCACAGCCAAGAAAAAATAAGACAGAGATGAATTCACATGATAATGTCATTGCTACATGATTTCTATTTCAGAAATATGAATTTATAAGCAATTATAACTTGTGTTAAAAGGAAAATCTGATTATTTAAAAATCAATATAAAAGTTACCCTCAAAAAATCCGGTCTAGCACTTTTTTCTTTTCTTATTTTATGTATTTATAGTGTATGCACGTTTTTGTATGTATGTGGGTGTGCATGCACCTGTGTGAGCATGCATGTGAAGACCCAAGGTTGATGTCAGGAATCATCCTCCATTGATCTACCCCCTTATTCTTTGAGGTAGGGTCTCTCAATCAAACCCAAAGTCCATCAATATGGCTGGTCTTGCTGGTCAGTTTGCTCTGGGATCCCTGTCTCTGCCTTCAAAGGCTAGAACTACAGGCAGCCACCATGCCCATGAGGCATTTTATCTGGATTTGAGGGGATCTGAACTCTGGTCCTCATACTTACGTGACAAGTACTTTAAATGCTGAGCCATCTCTCTAGCCTCGTGGATTCTAATTTTTACAGGAAATCTTTTTTTTTTTTTTCATTTGAAGCAGAGCCCATTTTGCATTTCTTTCTCTTTGAATACCAAAGTAAGACATTCTTGAAAACTGCTACAAGTCTGATTGCTTATGGCTCCAAAGACATCCAAACTTTTGTACATTAATTTTGTGATATAAATGTCTGCATTCAAATGAGGACTATGTGAAGAGATTTTAGTGGGATACCATTTAGCTGTGATTTTGCAGAACTGTGAATTCAGGACATACAGGGAGAGTGAAAATCATTACTTACAAGGAATATTCTGGAACTGCATCCTTGAAGGCAGGAAGTTCTCGCACATATTCATTATAAAACCATTTTACTTTGAAATGCAAATTCATATAATCTGTGCTCTTGCATAACCGCTGCTTCTCATGTTCTGTAATAGATGAAATCAAACAATAAAGTTTGGTTTGCCCACAGTGCTGCTGGGTTCCAATCAACCTTTATTATCAGTATTGCTATAAAGAAGAAAATAATGTGTTAGAGGCAAAGGCAAAGAGAAGTGATGAAGGCAGACCCAGCATTGTGTAGCATGCAAAAATAACCGTGGAGGGGTAGTGGGAGAGATGGCTCAGCTGCTCTTCCAGAGGACCCAAGTTCAGTTCCCAGCACCCACATCTGGCAGCTCACAACTGCCTATAACTCCAGCTCCAGGGACATCTGACACCCCTTTCTGGCCTCTGTGGCCATCTGCTGTACATTGCACATACACACAGAGACACACATATACACATAATTAAAAATAAAATAACATTAAAAAACAAAGATTCTATTAGGATAGACCAAGCAATAATGGGAAATGGTTAGAGTGTATTATTGTGTCTCATTAGAAAAAAGTGAGAATTTTGATGTAGATCAAATCTAACCACATAGTAAAAATTTCCATTTATCTGAAGGGTTTCATATTTAGCCAAATACTCAGTGAGAGAATTAAAATTCTAAGCATGGATGAAACATGACTCAACATGGATGTGGAAGCTGCAATCTCTGGCTAACATGGGACACGTGAGTGGGCAGGTCAGACCCTGACCTAGTTTTTTAATACTTCAAGAATTAAGATAGTGGAAAAGGGCAGAAAAATATATTTAACTTCTAAGCCATATCATTTTTTCACTTTTTAAGTTCATCTAAAATTACTTTGCACCCTGTAGGTTTTTCTTTAGTATTTCCTCAGAGGAATTCTCTAATGTATGGCTTTTATTCCTCTCTTGCTTAAAAACGGTAGTCTAAAACTGTTTTTAGGATATAGACACATATCCTAATCTATAGGATTTTGTAGGAGAGACATACAGTAATGTCACCAACATATCGGGAGGTGGGGGGTGTATATATGTATCTGCGTGTGAACATGTTGTATGCATCTGTATGTGTGTACATGTGGATGCCAGTTAAAATCAGATGTCTTTTTAATCACTCTCCATTTTATCTTTTTGAGATAGGATCTCTCACCAAGCCTGGAGCTCACTGATTTGGCTAGACTGGCTGGCCAGGGAGACCTAGGGAGCTTCCTGCCACTGCCTCCCCAGCACATGCCACTCTCCCTGACTTTTTAACTGGGTGTTGAGGATCCAAACTCAGGTCCTCATCCTTGCACAGCAAGCTCTTTACTGACTGATCTATCTCCCCAGGCCTTGACAATGTTTTTCTCTTCCACACCCCCTAATATTAACACATTGGTTATAACTATAAATGCAATCAAGCCCCAAATATCCCTGGTTCTCTTAAGGATGAAAGATCCCCCTGAGAAGCCCTGGTGGGCACCTGTGACCCTCAGTTACATTGAGGGCTGTGGTTCATCATACAAATATCCCATATTTTGATTCTATGTTAAATAATGGAAATATAGATTGAAGCAATTAGATTGATATAAGATATTAAGGATTTCCTGGTTTCCAAAACATGACCATGGAGGGATGTGAATCCCAACAGAATGCACAGAGAATACAACGCCAAACCAAACCTTTTTGAATGATCTAAAAGAAGATTAATCAATAATGTGTAGCAGGGAGAGAGGTGTTCTCACTAGAAACAAAAGTAATAAAGCACTGTTCCAGGCTAAACACTAAACCAAAGCCAGAACAAAGTACTGTGCTTCAGCTTCCTCAGGTTCATTTTACTCTCCAACCTTCTGATTCCACTTACTTTCCAACCTTATTCTATTTTCAAGAGGAATATTTATTTGATGAGTTCATAAGTAAGACATTAACATGAAACTGTTCTGAAACAGGGAGAGATAATGGGAGACTGTTGCCCTAGAACCCACACATTCATCATCTACTGTACAGACTCTAAACAGAAATAGCTCATGGGCCCCTGTAGCTTGGGATCCAGTCCTCAGAGATGCCCCAGAGCAAGGTGGGATGCTAAGTCCCCTCCTTTGTGGCCACACCACTGTGGTTATGACTAACACCCTCAAAGCCCCCTGTACATACTAGTCTAGTTTGTCCTGTATTTGAAAGTCAAAAGGTGATTGTGTTTGGATGCTGTTCAGACTTGTCAGCTGTGCACTGCTGATTATGGAATCATGTGCTGCCTTAGAATGGGGGTGGGAAGTTTCACTGTGGTAGCATGCAGGTAAGGCAGCAAACTAACTTATCAGGCTGTAGTATGGGTGGAGAAATTCATAAGCTATTGCATGGTGAACTATCATTTTCAAATCAGCATATACATTTTCTTTATTTGGCTCTTGTTTAGATCCTAAGGTTATTCATGAGTCAACATACAAGTCATTTCATGATTCTAAACACATGTATGTGATAGCCGGCTAATGTGCTGACTACTCTTTCCTATTTCTCAGGCCTGTGGAGGGGTAATCCTAGATATACACAAAGCCTAGTGCTGATTTCTTGGCAATCAGGTGGCTGTTGAATGTTAGAATTGTCACATATCTAGAATCCCAGTCACTTGGGAGGCTAAGGGAAGAGAATTTCTAGAACAAGTCCATCCTGGGCCGTATGGTTAGGTGTTCTTTCTGATAGTGTGACACTGGATAAGTGAGGGGAGAATTGCAAAAAACAATCCTGGAATCAAATGAAAATGGATCACAGCACATAAGAATCTTAGAAACGAACCTCAGGCCTCTTGGGGTAAGTCTATAGCGCAGCTCTCCGCGCCGGGACTCCCTAAGCGACATTCACCCTTCCATCCCCTCCCCCGCCGTTCTATACTCCTAGTTTGGGCCCTGCGCCAT